TTTTTTTTTTTTTTTTTTTTTTTTTTTTTTTTTTTTTTTTTTTTTTTTTTTTTTTGTGTTTTTTTTTTTTTTTTTTTTTTTTTTTTTTTTTTTTTTTTTTTTTTTTTTTTTTTTTTTTTTTTTTTTGTTTTTTTTTTTTTTTTTTTTTTTTTTTTTTTTTTTTTTTTTTTTTTTTTTTTTTTTTTTTTTTTTTTTTGTTTTTTTTTTTTTTTTTTTTTTTTTTTTTTTTTTTTTTTTTTTTTTTTTTTTTTTTTTGTTTTTTTTTTTTTTTTTTTTTTTTTGTTTTTTTTTTTTTTTTTTTTTTTTTTTTTTTTTTTTTTTTTTTTTTTTTTTTTTTTTTTTTTTTTTTTTTTTTTTTTTTTTTTTTTTTTTTTTTTTTTTTTTTTTTTTTTTTTTTTTTTTTTTTTTTTTTTTTTTTTTTTTTTTTTTTTTTTTTTTTTTTTTTTTTTTTTTTTTTTTTTTTTTTTTTTTTTTTTTTTTTTTTTTTTTTTTTTTTTTTTTTTTTTTTTTTTTTTTTTTTTTTTTTTTTTTTTTTTTTTTTTTCTTTTTTTTTTTTTTTTTTTTTTTTTTTTTTTTTTTTTGTTTTTTTTTTTTTTTTTTTTTTTTTTTTTTTTTTTTTTTTTTTTTTTTTTTTTTTTTTTTTTTTTTTTTTTTTTTTTTTTTTTTTTTTTTTTTTTTTTTTTTTTTTTTTTTTTTTTTTTTTTTTTTTTTTTTTTTTTTTTTTTTTTTTTTTTTTTTTTTTTTTTTTTTTTTTTTTTTTTTTTTTTTTTTTTTTTTTTTTTTTTTTTTTTTTTTTTTTTTTTTTTTTTTTTTTTTTTTTCTTTTTTTTTTTTTTTTTTTTTTTTTTTTTTTTTTTTTTTTTTTTTTTTTTTTTTTTTTTTTTTTTTTTTTTTTTTTTTTTTTTTTTTTTTTTTTTTTTTTTTTTTTTTTTTTTTTTTTTTTTTTTTTTTTTTTTTTTTTTTTTTTTTTTTTTTTTTTTTTTTTTTTTTTTTTTTTTTTTTTTTTTTTTTTTTTTTTTTTTTTTTTTTTTTTTTTTTTTTTTTTTTTTTTTTTTTTTTTTTTTTTTTTTTTTTTTTTTTTTTTTTTTTTTTTTTTTTTTTTTTTTTTTTTTTTTTTTTTTTTTTTTTTTTTTTTTTTTTTTTTTTTTTTTTTTTTTTTTTTTTTTTTTTTTTTTTTTTTTTTTTTTTTTTTTTTTTTTTTTTTTTTTTTTTTTTTTTTTTTTTTTTTTTTTTTTTTTTTTTTTTTTTTTTTTTTTTTTTTTTTTTTTTTTTTTTTTTTTTTTTTTTTTTTTTTTTTTTTTTTTTTTTTTTTTTTTTTTTTTTTTTTTTTTTTTTTTTTTTTTTTTTTTTTTTTTTTTTTTTTTTTTTTTTTTTTTTTTTTTTTTTTTTTTTTTTTTTTTTTTTTTTTTTTTTTTTTTTTTTTTTTTTTTTTTTTTTTTTTTTTTTTTTTTTTTTTTTTCTTTTTTTTTTTTTTTTTTTTTTTTTTTTTTTTTTTTCTTTTTTTTTTTTTTTTTTTTTTTTTTTTTTTTTTTTTTTTTTTTTTTTTTTTTTTTTTTTTTTTTTTTTTTTTTTTTTTTTTTTTTTTTTTTTTTTTTTTTTTTTTTTTTTTTTTTTTTTTTTTTTTTTTTTTTTTTTTTTTTTTTTTTTTTTTTTTTTTTTTTTTTTTTTTTTTTTTTTTTTTTTTTTTTTTTTTTTTTTTTTTTTTTTTTTTTTTTTTTTTTTTTTTTTTTTTTTTTTTTTTTTTTTTTTTTTTTTTTTTTTTTTTTTTTTTTTTTTTTTTTTTTTTTCTTTTTTTTTTTTTTTTTTTTTTTTTTTTTTTTGTTTTTTTTTTTTTTTTTTTTTTTTTTTTTTTTTTTTTTTTTTTTTTTTTTTTTTTTTTTTTCTTTTTTTTTTTTTTTTTTTTTTTTTTTTTTTTTTTTTTTTTTTTTTTTTTTTTTTTTTTTTTTTTTTTTTTTTTTTTTTTTCTTTTTTTTTTTTTTTTTTTTTTTTTTTTTTTTTTTTTTTTTTTTTTTTTTTTTTTTTTTTTTTTTTTTTTTTTTTTTTTTTTTTTTTTTTTTTTTTTTTTTTTTTTTTTTTTTTTTTTTTTTTTTTTTTTTTTTTTTTTTTTTTTTTTTTTTTTTTTTTTTTTTTTTTTTTTTTTTTTTTTTTTTTTTTTTTTTTTTTTTTTTTTTTTTTTTTTTTTTTTTTTTTTTTTTTTTTTTTTTTTTTTTTTTTTTTTTTTTTTTTTTTTTTTTTTTTTTTTTTTTTTTTTTTTTTTTCTTTTTTTTTTTTTTTTTTTTTTTTTTTTTTTTTCCTTTTTTTTTTTTTTTTTTTTTTTTTTTTTTTTTTTTTTTTTTTTTTTTTTTTTTTTTTATTTGTGTTTTGAGGCCTTGGCCTTTGTAAGCCGCATCGAGTCCTTCGGGAGATAAAGATAATAATAATAATAATAATAATAATAATAATAATAATAATAATAATAATAATAATATATTGGAACAGGGACTCTTTCTGACTGAGGATTCCTATTCAGCAAGGAGTTTTTTTCTTGCTATTTATTTATCGTGTCATCAGCAACCATTGTATTACAATTCTAACAGAGCAAAACAAACACAGAGATTAAAAAGAAAAAAAAAACCACACAGATTTTGCAAATTTGGTATTTGGTTAAATGTCCTTTGACCAGTATCTGGCCACTTGGAGTGCCTCTGGGGTTGCTGCAAGAAGGTCCTCCATCGTGCATGTGGCAGGGCTCAGGGTGCATTGCAGCAGGTGGTCAGTAGTTTGTTCTTCTCCGCACTCGCATGCCGAGGATTCCACCCTGTAGCCCCATTTCTTAAGATTGGCTCTGCATCTCGTGGTGCCAGAGCGCAATCTGTTCAGCGCCTTCCAAGTCGCCCAGTCTTCTGTGTGCCCAGGGGGGAGTCTCTCATTTGGTATCAGCCATTGGTTGAGGTGCTGGGTTTGAGCCTGCCACTTTTGGACTCTCGCTTGCTGGGGTGTTCCAGCGAGTGTCTCTGTAGATCTTAGAAAACTATGTCTAGATTTAAGTCATTGGCGTGCTGGCTGATACCCAAACAGGGGATGAGCTGGAGATGTCTCTGCCTTGGTCCTTTCACTATTGGCTGCTACTTCCCGGCGGATGTCAGGTGGTGCGATACTGGCTAAGCAGTGTAATTTCTCCAGTGGTGTGGGGCGCAGACACCCTGTGATAATGCGGCATGTCTCATTAAGAGCCACATCCACTGTTTTAGTGTGGTGAGATGTGTTCCACACTGGGCATGCGTATTCAGCAGCAGAGTAGCATAGCGCAAGGGCAGATGTCTTCACTGTGTCTGGTTGTGATCCCCAGGTTGTGCCAGTCAGCTTTCGTATGATATTGTTTCTAGCGCCCACTTTTTGCTTGATGTTCAGGCAGTGCTTCTTGTAGGTCAGAGCACGGTCCAAAGTGACTCCCAGGTATTTGGGTGCGCTGCAATGCTCCAGTGGGATTCCTTCCCAGGTAAGCCTCAGAGCTCGGGATGCTTGTCTGTTCTTTTTCTTGCTACAGCTCTGGGTTATCCTCCACTTTTCAAATGCAAATGGAAAGCACTGCTATATCACCAGAAGAGAGAAGGACATGGATCTGTTTCTCTTAGAATCAAACAGGCAATGCTATTGATGTTACTGGCTGAGAGGAACATATAGATTATTGGTTCTCAACATGTGGGTCCCCAGGTATTTTAGCATAAAACTCCCAGATATTACAGCCAGTTTACCAGCTGTTAGGATTTCTAGGAGTTGGCGGCCAAAACATCTGGGGACCCACAGGTTGAGAACCACTGATACAGATCATAGCTTTCAGTATGGCATGTTAAACAGATTAACGAGAGTCTAGGGCAGGGGTCCTCAAACCTTTTAAACAGGGGGCCAGATTACTGTTCCTCAGACCATTGGAGGGCCGGACTATAGTTGTTGTTTTTTTTTAAAAAAAAACAATGGCCAAATTCCTATGCACACTGCACATGTCTTATTTTGCTACTGTTATGAATCGTAATGTAAATATCTGATATGCATGATGTATTTTTTTTTTGTTACAATCTGAACATAAAGCATAGTGATTCATCACAAAAACATAAATATAGGAAATAAATCTATATAAATAAAAATGTAATGTTCGTTTGTGGGATTAACAGAACTCAAAATCCACTGGACACCTAACAACCCAATGTATGTCCTTCACTCAAAAAAAAAACAAACGATTTTGTCATTTGGGAGTTGTAGTTGCTGGGATTTATAGTTCACCTACAATCAAAGAGCACTCTGAACCCCACCAACGATGGAATTGAACCAAACTTGGCACACAGTTCTCCCATGACCAACAGGAAATACTAGAAGGGTTTGGTGGGCATTGACCTTGAGTTTGGGAGTTGTAGTTCACCTACATCCAGAGAGCACTGTGGACTCAAACAATGATGGATCTGGACCAAACTTGGCACAAGCACTCAATACGCCCACATATGAACACAGATGGAGTTTGGGGAAAACAGACCTTGACATTTGGGAGTTGTAGTCACTGGGATTCACAGTTCACCGACAATCAAAGAGCATTCTGAACTCCACCAATGATGGAATTGAACCAAACTTGGGTTTGGTGGGCAGTGTCCTTTGGTTTTGGAGTTGTAGTTCACCTACATCCAAAGACCACTGTGCACTCAAACAATGATGGATTTGGACCAAACTCTCCTTGATGAATTTACACCGTGTTAGTTGCATTTCAAGCAAATCTATACGTGATACCTTTTTTTACATTCAATATTAATCCTATAGCCCAGAGGCCTCACCCGGGAGGCTTCTCCCTCCCACACGGAAGGGAAGGAAGGGGGGAGGGAAGGGAGAAGGAAGGGGAAGGGGAGAGAAAGGAGGAAGGGGAAAGAAGGAAGGAGGGAGAAGCCTGGCCCGTCGTGACCCCGTCTGAAGCCACTTCGGAGGGAGAGAGAGAGAAGCGCCGCTGACGCGAGCAGTGAGGGGCTTTGCGCCAGGCCGCACGCGCCGGATAAATGCCCTCGGCGGGCCGCATATGGCCCGCGGGCCTTAGTTTGGGGACCCCTGGTCTAGGGGATCAAGAAGCAATTGGGACCAGTCTCTTTTATTTGGTCTTTGATTTCTGTCTTTTTGTCTAAAGGGTTTTTTTTCTTTTTCCTAAACAAAGAAATTGGCAGAAGAATGAGAAACATAAGGAGCCAGCTGTAACAAAACCTGGTGCACAAAAACAGGTGTTTGGGAAGCAAAAGAGAATGAAAACAAAAAGTATAACCCAAGTGGAAGAAGAGAAGAGCTCCTCTTCCTTCCAGCACACGGATCATTCTGAACCTCTAACCTCAGAATCAAATAACATGGAGTGCGCTGACTGTGGGGCAGTGTGCAAATGTCACGCACAGTTAAACATAGATGTTGGTCCTCACAAAGGGGGGAAACCATACAAATGCATGGAATGCGGAATGAATTTTGGTCAGTCTCATCATCTACAGTCACATAAAAAAACACACACAGGGGAGAAACCATACAAATGCATGGAATGTGGAATGAATTTTCGTCGGTCTCATCATCTAAAGTCACATGAAAAAACACACACAGGGGAGAAACCATACAAATGCATGGAACGCGGAATGAATTTTCGTCGGTCTCATCATCTAAAGTCACATGAAAAAACACACACAGGGGAGAAACCATACAAATGCATGGAATGCGGAATGAATTTTCGTCGGTCTCATCATCTACAGTCACATGAAAAAACACACACAGGGGAGAAACCATACAAATGCATGGAATGTGGAAAGTGCTTCAGCAAGAAAGCAAATCTACAGGTGCATCAAAGAATACACACAGGAGAGAAGCCATACAAGTGCATGGAATGCGGAAAGAGCTTCAGCGATGGTGGATCATATAGTAAACATCTAAGAGGTCACACAGGAGAAAAACCATATAAATGTATAGAATGTGGAAAGAGCTTTGGTGACGGGACACAACTTTGTATACATCAAAGAACACACACAGGGGAGAAACCATACAAATGCATGGATTGTGGAAAGAGCTTCAGTCAGAGTGCAAGTCTACATGTACATCAAAGAACACACACAGGAGAGAAGCCATACGAATGCATGGATTGTGGAAGGAGCTTCAGTCGCAATGAGACACTACATTCCCATCAAAGAACCCACACAGGAGAGAAACCCTATGAATGCATGGATTGTGGAAAGAACTTCATTCAGAAATCAGCTCTCCGTGTACATCAAAAAAGCCACACTGGGGAGAAACCATACAAATGTATGGAATGTGGGAAGAGCTACACTGGAAGACAACATTTACATGTACATCAGTACACCCATACAGGGGAGAAACCATACGAATGCATGGAATGTGGAAAGAGTTTCAGTGATAGGAGAGCATTGAATGCACATCAAAGGACTCACTCAGGTGAGAAGCCGTACAAATGCATAGAATGCGATAAAATCTTTGGGTCCCGTTCAACTTTACTGACACATCAAAAAAATCACAGAGGAGAGAAACCATACAAATGCATAGTGTGTGGAAAGCATTTCAGTCGGACTTGTTATCTGCGTGTACATGAAAGAACGCATTCCAGAGATAAACCCTATAAATGCACGGAATGTGGAAAGAGCTTCAGTCAGATGGGAAATCTACGTGTCCATGAAAGGACACACACAGGGGAGAGACCATATGAATGCACAGAAAACTGGGAAAACATGTTGACTCGAGTATAAGCTGAGGGTGGGAAATGCAGCAGCTACTGGTAAATGTCAAAAGCCATGGTATTCTCTGTAGTAACCTACGGATGTGAGAGCTGGACCTTAGGGAAGGCTGAGCGAAGGAAGATCGATGCTTTTGAGCTGTGGTGTTGGAGGAAAGTGCTGAGAGTGCCTTGGACTGCGAGAAGATCCAGCCAGTCCATCCTCCAGGAAATAAAGCCCGACTGCTCACTGGAGGGGAGACTAGAGACAAAGTTGAAGTCCTTTGGCCACATCAGGAGACAGGAAAGCCTAGATAAGAGAATGATGCTGGGGAAAGTGGAAGGAAAAAGGAAGAGGGGCCGACCAAGGGCAAGATGGATGGATGGCATCCTTGAAGGGACTGGACTGACCTTGAAGGAGCTGGGGGTGGTGACGGCCGACAGGGAGCTCTGCCGTGGGCTGGTCCGTGAGGTCACGAAGAGTCGGAATCGACTGAACGAATGAATAACAACTGGTAAATGTTTTCACTGCCATCCATAGCATTACTAATGCCACATTTCTTGAAGGCGCATTGCACCATGTTCTCTGGATTCACAAACCCACTTTGTAGGTGTTTCATCCGTATGTCCAATATCCTTCTTTGTTTTATTTACTTTATTTCTATACCGCTTTTCTCAGCCCTCAGGCGACTCAAAGCGGCGAACAACATCAGTACAAAATATCACAAAACAAGTATAGAGCAATTAAAAACAATTATCACATCAATCATTAACATCAGTATAACAATCATTAGCGCCTCAACAGTAAAATCAGAATCCAGTCTCGTCATCCATTATTCCGTATTCCTATGTTCAATTACACTGTTTAATCAAATGGTTGTTCGAACAGCTAGGTCTTCACTTTCCTCCGAAACGCCAGCAGGGAGGGGGCCAATCTGGTATCTGCAGGCAGGGCGTTTCACAGCCGAGGGGCCACCACTGAGAAGGCCCTGTCTCTCGTCCCCACCAAGCACGCCTGTGATGCAGGCGGGACCGAGAGCAGGGCCTCCCCAGATGATCTTAGTGTCCTAGTCGGTTCATAGGAGGAGATGCGTTCGGAGAGGTAAGTAGAGCCAGAACCGTTTAGGGCTTTATAGGCTAAAGCCAGCACTTTGAATTGTGCCCAGTAGCAAACTGGTAGCCAGTGGAGCTGGCACAACAGAGGAGTAGCATGCTCCCTGGGTGCTGCTCCTGTTAGCACCCTGGCTGCCGAGCACTGGACCATTTGAAGCTTCCGAGCAGTCTTCAAGGGCAACCCCACGTAGAGAGCGTTGCAGTAGTCTATGCAGGATGTAACCAGAGCGTGGACTACTGTGGCCAAGTCAGACTTCAAGGTCTTTTGGCAACTTCTGTGAACTCTTTTTCTTTGCTGCAAACACAGGGCAAACCTATTCATGAAGCGGGTACTCCATCCTTCTGATGCAACACAATTTTCAATGCCTGGTGCTTTTAACTGGTCATCTTTAACCATCTGAAAGGCACATGAATTCCCATGTGTGTTACGCTGTGACCATTTTGACGACATTCCGTAACCCATTTATGTAGTTCCGTCTCTAGAGCCCTATATGAAGTTGGTAAACCACGTTGAGCTTTTTTTTACTTCGGAATCTTTTCCAAGTCAGCTTTCATTTTCTGCCATTCCCTCACTTGTTTTTCGTCAACACAAAATTCCCTACTTGCAATCATGTTATTGCTTTCTTCTGTTCTTGACACAACCTCGAGTTTTAAACCAACTTTGTATGACCTGCGTGATGCTCCATTTCTGAACTACTGGTATATCACTAGAGTAGAGAGGAATCTGCGACGTTATTGATGTTCCTGACTGAGAGCAGCATATAGAAAAGGGATGGTCAATTTCAGTATGGTATGGTAAAAGGATCAAGGGGACTCTGGGAGATAAAGTAGCAGCTGGGATCAGTCCCTTATTTGATTATTGGTTTCTGTGCTTTTGTCTAATGGAATTTTCTTCTTTTCCCTCAAAATAGAAACCAGTGAGAGAATGAAGACCACGGGGAGCCAGCCATAACAAAGCCTGTCATAGAATCGCAGCCTTTTGGAAGGCAAAAAAGAATGGAAACAAAAAGCAGGACCCATGTTAAAAACCTGAAGACCTCCTCTTCCTTCCAGCATCTTGATCATTCTGAAACTCCAGCCTCAGAATCAAATAAAACTGACTGTCCTGACTGTGGGAGACTTTGCAAATGCCATGCTCAGTTAAACATAGATACCAAGCTCTACAAAGGAGATAAATCATGGAAATGCATGGATTGTGGAAAGAGCTTCGCGTGCAGTGGAGGTCTGCGTTCCCATCAAAGGACCCACACAGGGGAGAAGCCATACAAATGCATTGAGTGTGGAAAGAGCTTCCGTAATAGTGGAAATTGTGATAGGCATCGAAGGACTCACTCAATGGACAATCCACATAAATGCATTGAATGTGGAAAGAGCTTCAGTCGAAGTGACAATTTGCGTTCCCATCAAAGAATACACGCAGGGGAGAAGCCATATAAATGCATTGAATGTGGAAAGAGTTTCTGTGATAGGGGGAATTATAGAATCCATGTAAGGACCCACACAGGGGAGAAGCCATACAAATGCATGCAATGTGGAAAGAGCTTCAGTGAGAGTGGAACTTGTAAAAAGCACGTAAGGACCCACACAGGAGAGAAGCCATACAAATGCATGGAATGTGGAAAGAGCTTCAGGGTGACTGCACATCTGAATTCCCATCAAAAAATCCACACAGGGAAGAAACCATATAATTGCATGGAATGTGGGAAAAACTTCAGTCGGGGTACACATCTGCGTTCCCATCAAAGGACCCACACAGGGGAGAAGCCATACAAATGCATGGAATGTGGAAAGAGCTTCTCAGAAAGTTGCAGCTTGCAAGTACATCAAAGATTCCACACAGGAGAGAAGCCATATAAATGCATTGAATGTGGAAAGAGCTTCCGTGAGAGTGGGAGTTATAGAACTCATGTAAAGACTCACACAGGGGAGAAGCCATACAAATGCATTGAATGTGGAAAGAGCTTCCGTGATAGTGGGAGTTATAGAATCCATGTAAGGACTCATACAGGGGAGAAGCCATATAAATGCATTGAATGTGGAAAGAGCTTCCGTGATAGTGGGAGTTATAGAATCCATGTAAGGACTCACACAGGGGAGAAGCCATATAAATGCATTGAATGTGGAAAGAGCTTCCGTGATAGTGGGAGTTATAGAATCCATGTAAGGACTCATACAGGGGAGAAGCCATACAAATGCATGCAATGTGGCAAGAGCTTCAGTCAGAATAGATCATATAAGAAACATCTAAGGACTCACACAGAAGAAACCATATAAGTGCATGGAATGTGGAAAGGCCTTTAGCAATAGTAGCTCATGTAGGAAAACTGAACAACTCACATGGGTGAAACCATGGGAATGCATGAAATGTGGGATGAAATTCAGTGGACATACTCATTCTGTTTTGAAATAGCAACCTTCTTAAGCCTCTGCTAGTTATTTGTTATGTACATAATTGCTTACTGTATTATATGTGTGTGTTGCTTTCAAATTTCACCTAATCTGTTTGTTGTGGGAGGAGCTGCAGACTCTGTGATCAGAAGTAGACATGTTCAAGACTCAGACTCCATATTAGTTAGTAGAAGTCAGTAGACTCTTAGAGTAGAACCCAGCTTGTAACTCTCTCGAAAAAAGAGATCAGATGAGTCTGGCATGACTTGTTTTTGATAAATCCGTGTTGACTATTAGCGATGACTGCATTTGTTTCTAAGTGTTTGTAGACCAGTTCCTTAATCTTTTCCAGAATTGATACCAGGCAAGATTCTGGAAAATATTGTTAAGGAATTGATGTGCAAACACTTTTTTTTCGATAGAGTTACAAGCTGGGTAGATGCGGGGAATGCCGTGGATGTAGCGTACCTGGATTTCAGTAAGGCCTTCGACAAGGTCCCCCATGACCTTCTGGCAAGGAAACTAGTCCAATGTGGGCGAGGCAAAACTACGGTGAGGTGGATCTGAAATTGGTTAAATGGACGAACCCAGAGGGTGAGTCTCCCCAAGGCTTCCTTCTCTTCATCTTGGAAAGAAGTGACGAGTGGAGTGCCACAAGCAGGGTTCCGTCCTGGGCCCGGTCCTGTTCAACATCTTTATTAACGACTTAGATGAAGGGTTAGAAGGCAGGATCATCAAGTTTGCAGACGACACCAAATTGGGAGGGAGAGCCAATACTTCAGAGGACAGGAGCAGGATTCAAAACAATCCTGATAGATTAGAGAGATGGGCCAAAACTAACAAAATGAAGTTCAACAGGGACAAATGCAAGATACTCCACTTTGGCAGGAAAAACGAAATGCAAAGATACAGAATGGGGGACACCTGGCTTGAGAGCAGGACGTGTGAAAAAGATCTTGGAGTCCTCGTGGACAACAAGTTAAACATGAGCCAACAATGTGATGTGGCGGCAAAAAAAGCCAATGGGATTTTGGCCTGCATCAGTAGGAGCCTAGTGTCTAGATCTAAGGAAGTAATGCTACCCCTCTATTCTGCTTTGGTTAGACCACACCTGGAATATTGTGTCCAATTCTGGGCACCACAATTGAAGAGAGATATTGACAAACTGGAATGTGTCCAGAGGAGGGCGACTAAAATGATCAAGGGTCTGGAGAACAAGCCTTATGAGGAGTGACTCAAGGACCTGGGCATGTTTAGCCTGAAGAAGAGAAGGCTGAGAGGAGACATGAAAGCCACGTATAAATACACGAGAGGAAGCCACAGGGAGGAGGAGGGAGCAAGCTTGTTTTCTGCTGCCTAATTTCTCTACTTACCGCTCAAACTGTTTTCAAACTGCTTAGATAAACAGTAAGCTGGGCTGACATTCGGGAGCTCACACCAACCTGGGGCTTTGAACTGGCAACCTTTCAGTTGGTACACCTTATCATTGCTGGTGATTTACCAGCTGTGCTAAAGCCTGGCCAATGCTCACCTATTTTAATCATTATTACTATGATAGATGTTTTAATGTTGATTATGTTTTTAATGTATCATGTTTTGTGATTATTTGTATCCTGTTTCTAACTTTGATGTTTAAGTCTTTCATGCGATTAGCTCACTGTCGTCATTATTTGTATATGCTGTATTGCTTTACTGTATTTGCACTTGCCTTGGCATTGAATGTTTTCCTTTTTGTGTGTAATCCACCCTGAGTCCTCTCTGGGAGATAGGGCGCGGTCTATAAATAAAGATGATGATGATGATGATTATAATAGAAGGCACAACCTTTTTTGAAAAATAATGTTCACCAGCATTCATGCAAGGCAACTAGGTCTCTCAGCTGTTAAACTAATGTACCTAGGTATGCTCCATCCATGTTCAACATCTACACAAATGACCAGCCACTGCCAGAAGGGACAGAGAGCTTCATCTATG